CACGCTGTCATGGAAAAGTATTTGTTCAGAGAAAAGATGCTCGCTTCTTGCTTCATGGCACCGGATCCCTTGACCGAAGCGAATAGCCTCCATGATCCCAACTTGGAACACGTGTTGCAGGACAAAGAGAGGTTGTATCAGTACTTGTTCGGAGACTCCGTGAGGGGAAGCCATGCATATCAGTCCACTGCGGGAGCTTCAGGTGAGAACGAGTCTGAGCGAAGGAAAAGGGAGAAGGTAAGGAGAGAGAACAAAATGCCATGGATGGATGAGTACTGGGGAGTCCTTCAACCAGAGCCAATCTACTCGAGGACTCAGAGGTGGTACGTCATCGATGACTTTAAGGAGGGTGAGGAGATTTGCTGCGATTACTGTTTGGTCTGCGATCCCGCAGACTCCGATCAGAAAGATGATTGCTATGCAGAATGCATCAACGGAGCAGCAAATAGGTGCCGTGGGATGTCCGCAGAAGACTACGTCCAGAAGCGGCTCCATGCATGTGCTCGAATGCTTTACAACTTCGGCATGGGGCAAACGGTATCATCTCCCACCGTCATGATCTCCGGGATGAACCCGCACGTAGATCTGATGAAGTTCCTACATGAGGCGATGATCATCTTTAACGGGAACCCAGGTTTCCAGAAGGAAATATCGTTCTTCGGGGGGATCAGGTTGTCATCAACGATGACGGAGAACTTCTTCAAAACGAGGAGAGGACCCAGCATTCATGTGGAGAAGCAGATAATCGGCAAGGCCATGTACTTTCAGGGATCTTATGACCTTGGCAACGTGTGCTACACCAAATATCTCAAGACCATACTGGAGCCCGAGGTGTTCCGCAATATGTTCGGAGATGATCCCTCGGAGGAACGGGTAGGTGATATGGTGGAAGCGCTGCTGGGCATGCTAGAAGTTGCTCAACTCTTCAAACACCTGTTCTCGGGATGGGGTGACATCGAGGCTTTGAGGACGGGATTAGAAGAATCCATCAAGCGTGTCACTGCATCACTGTACGACAGGACAACGTATGAGAACCGAAAGCGATCGATGATCAGGACATTGGACCCGCACTCTGAAGAGGCGGCAAACGTGGCACTGATTCTCGTTCGCATGAGGACCATGCCGCCTCCTGAATTCGACATCGACCACTTCTTCGAAATCGGGAAAGAACCAGAACATGGAACAGAGGCTAATGACCAGCCCGAGGCCGAAGGTGTCGATATGGAGACTGAATTTGAACAGGAGAAGGAGGAGCCAGACGTTGACATGTCCAACCCGAAGACATCAATACTGCAAGCCATTGAAGAGTTTGAGGAGAAGATCGGGCAAGCAGAGTTCTGCATCCACTGCATGAAGTCGGGACACACAACTCTCAATTGCGAGAAGATCCCTTCATCTTCACCCACAGTCACCTCAGTGCTGAGTGATTGGAAAAAGAGAGTGAAGGGAGAGGTTACACCCGACGATGTACCATCCGGACATCCAGCCGAGGGGCCTAAGAAGAAGAAGCAGAGAGCATCACCTACACCAGATAGGAAGGTCGACAGCGAGTTCAGGCGAAAAGAGATGTTGAAGGCAAGAGTCGTGACGATGTTTGACCATGACGGGTTCACCTTGATTGAAAGTGCCGATGGAGTCGAAGGAGGGACACATTCCTACAACGGGCGGAAGCTGGCGGAAGTAGGCCCTAGGGATATGAAGGTGGTGTACGAGTTTGTGGAGAAGGCATTTGTGCACTCCAGTTCCCTCAAACCAAAGGCATGTCATCAATTCTATCCCCTACCGACACGGAGGGAGAAGGGATACAAGCCGATCGACCCCATGACAATGGTCGGGAGAGTTGAGCTAGTACCGATCAATGGAGTCACTTTCGCTGCACAGAACTCCGACTACGGCAACCACAAGTATCCGACTCCAGACTGTCGAGTACCAGAGTATAGCCAAGCGAGCCAGGCCCTGAGTCGCCGATTGGGAGCGAAATTGAGACATCGGATTGGACGCCAGTTCAGGACAGGAGGAAGACTCACCCCAATCAAATGCGATGAAGGCGCGTGGGTGTCATGGGAAGACCTATTAGGTGATAACGCGGTTTGGGAAGACGGTTATCACTATGGCAACATTGACATCGTGACCAAGAAGGCGCGTTTGGAAAAGTACCTCGACCAGAACTACGAGTGTTTCCGCATAACCAAGAGGATCAGATTCCAAATGTTGGCAGTTCGTGTTCACCCTGATGAACTCAATGATCCTGATGACCCGATGGAGAAGGAATGGATTGACGAGCTCAAGGGCATGGGAATCACCAAAGCAAGACTCCACAATAGCGATGGATGGTGCTTTCCCGTGGCCGTAAGAGCAACCTCAGCACACTCGTCGGACGGCGGAGGTTATGACGTCACCATCAACATCGACCACATTGGATCGAGAATGACCAACGACATGGCCCTATCCATGGTGACTGCATTTCACGCTACCAACCTTGGAGCGCTGACTTCAATCATGCGACGAGGGCTGGTGCCAGGAGGTCTCGGTTTATCGGGAAGGGATTCTATCCACTTCACGTGTTTTCCGCCATGGGCCTGGGAACAGGGCTACAAGGGAAAACCTTGGCTGGGTCGTAAGGTCGCATTGAGTGATCGCCCAGTGGTTCTCTACATTCCGGTGTGGAAGCTGCAGGAGTACGGGCTTCTCATCTCAGCGACTGGATCTCTATTGGTTGAGGATGTCGTTCCCTTCGATGAGGTTAAAGGGGCATGGTTGCAATGCGACAATGCAGAACCCGGACAGCCTGAAGAGATCGAATGGATCAGATTACTCAATAGAGAACCCGACCCTGGAAGCTACCTTGTTCTGGAATCCAAATACGGAAACCCGATCATGACTCCACGCTATCAGAAGCTTGAGAGTTTGGCGATCGAGGTCCAGGACGATACCTACTCCGAGGACGACGCCAAAATCTCAAAGCTGTTGGGCACGATCGAGGAGAGTGGTATCTACCCAGAATATGATAGCACTGAGTGGCAGGAGATCTTTGAGGAGATCGTATATCGCCGAGCAATGAAAGACTACGATTCAAGACCGTGTCCTAACTGCCTTGGCGAGGTCGATGTGCGATTGACGATATGTCCGCACTGCGTAGCGGTTTTGATCGCGAATGGGAAGCTCACGCATGTGGTACCCAAGGAGACAAGGGACCGCAATCAACGATCACCTCCGAGAGACGTGCCAGCCAGTTCTTCCGGTGAAGCGACTTCTTCTGCAGGTGCAAACATCGACGAAGTCATCAAGAAAGCACGCAAGACAGCCGAAGAAGTCATTGACGTCGAGGAATCCGAAGGAGAGGAAGACGAGGGAGTTCCTATCATCATGAAGGAACGACCGGACGAGGCTGAAGGCGAACCCGAGTATCGGGAGGTCCATCAAGATGGATACGGGAATGAACTTCCACAGCCTTTCCCCTTCGCAATTGACGAATTGCCACAGGAAGCCGCGATCCCCATCGACCACAACTTTGCAGTCACACAGCAATTTGATCTGAGGCTGATGAAGTTGATCAAGAGCTTGGCCAACGCAACGTTCGACATCAATTGCTTTGAGAATCGTGAAGACGTGCTGCGAAAGTTCGACGATGGACAGCGGCATGACACTCCATTCAATAGATGGCCATTAGTACCGAATGATCCGGATACTGGGTTTCCAAGACGTCTTCAGAGAGCCGAGGTCGTGGGCATGAGCAAATGGACCAACGACACATATGCAACAGAAGCGTGGCAGGTCTATGAATTCCACGCCCACGTTATTCACCCGATGATGATCACTGCAATCCGCTGCGGGCTCAGCCACAAGTATCTCAGAGAGGTCGGCAGCACTCGGCGTAACATGAGTGATCCAAAGGCTCGAAGATCTGAGACCCAGGAAGAGATCATCGAGAAGCTGGCATTCATCTCAAATTTCATCAGACGCTTGATCAGGAAGACCTTCGGAGCGAGCCGATACAGCTACTACCAGAAGCCAGATGACGAAGGTACCGCTCCATACAAATTCATTGACATTAGCCCCGCCATCAAATCGGAGCGAAAGAATGTCACAAAGGAGATCCTCGTTGCATGCCGCTACTACGGCATAGAGGTATCCGATATCCAAACACAGAAATTGAAGCTCTTTGAGGAGCAGATCCGAAGGGGAAACCCAAGGAACGTTGAGCTCATCAAGGACTACATTGGTTTTGTCGGAGCTGACTACATGCGACAACTCACGAATGGTTGAGCATTGGGGTCGTGCCGACACACTACTTCCAGTACTTCACGTACTGAGGGATCTTGGGTAATTCATGATGACCATTTTGGCATCATGGGGGTGAGATAGGATTGTGTTTCACACCGTCGGTAATCACATGATACCATAGGTAGATGCACGTTTTCCGTTTGTAGCTCGATTACCTGTTTGATCCATCTTTCATGCGAATGCAAGATCGTTTGCTAATTCAGTTTCATAGGACATACTGGTTGACCTCCAACGCACTTTTGAGAACATGATTGTTCTCCGGTTTTACATCCAATCATCTCCCTTCCCCGTCGAAGCACGGATGTGGGGGGTGTGAATAGAGATGAGGTCCCAGTATAATTGCTAAATGGACACTTGCCATAAACATTTGGCTCAAGTGCCCAACCAGGCGAAAAGGGGCTATTGCGCGCGAGCTTCATGCCGAACTAAGGGCTTGAACGGGGCCAGGGCACGCTTTCCATCCGTTCGCATTATATATGGTTATATAATATAGGCCTGACAACAACAGTGCGCTATTGTTTAAACGCGGTGACTAATGTGGAATTTGGGAGGGTCGTGCACTACTTAAGTCTAAGCGCCTTTGAGTTGGAAAACATGAGGATTTTGTCCGCAATGTGTGTGTGTGTGTGCGTGTCTTTTTTTTTCAGTTTGTGCTCCAAGTCCTTCATGTGTGCCCCTTCAGTCTGACCATTTTGTTTCACCCAGGAACTGGCAGGATGGGCGCCGGTGGCACGTGCATTACTATTTGTACGCAGGGGGAGTATGAGCTTCTCGGAGATGAAGCCGAACGAGCGGCTTCCAGGGAGTGTTCCCGAGCGAAGATGCAAGGGGCCAAGTGGGTATGACTGTGTTGACCTACTCACAAAGCTGAAAAACAAGCTGTTCACATGTTTCAGGAAATCTTACTGTCGCAAAGACTGTCCATGTACCAGGAAGTCTTCCTGTACGTCTTGGGTTTGTGGATGTGTTTGATGCCAGACATCCTTACAGAGCATTGGTAATTAAGGTGGTCGTCTCATCCATTCAAGAGGATTCAAGGTCGTGTCACTGTGCTGTGTTGTTTGCTCTCCAGCCGTCGCTTGGTGCTGTTTACTCCTTATCGTGACTATAGCAAACCTCATGAGGCTCGAGGCCTTCCTTGAAAAAAGGGGCGAGGCTTTTGGCCCCAACTTCTACTCCCTTGCAGAGACCCACATGGAACCCCAAAACCACGTCGGGTTGTAGAGGAACATCGTCTTCCACCGGTCAATTCTCAGGTTCCATGTTAGGAAATGCGGGGGGGTACCTGAACACAGTGTTCATGCGTGGACTTCTTAGGGGGGTCTCATGCTTTTTTCCAGGGTGGACGTCCACGTGAGTCCATGAGTTGCAGGGAGTGTATGTGTTCGGACGTCCAGTCACATGTGAGGAACATCATCGATGGCGTAGAGCTTCGACTTGGCATTGACTTCACGCTTTGGGATCCTGAATCTGGAGATGTGGCTGACGAGTCGGAGAGGAGTGAGGAGGAGACCAGTGCCGAGGAGGCGTAGCTTGTGTTTGGCAGAAAGGATGAAAAAGGAGTTGAACCATTGGTTTAGGGGTTTAGGGATTTAGGGTTTAGGTCAGAGCACAGCAAATATTTCACACCGATGACTCCTTCCACACTCCTTTCCTTGCCAGCAAGCTGTTGACCTATCCTGGGAAAGCGACTACGAATGCACCATGACCATCCTTTCAGTTCGAAGGAGCAATAATCTGTCTCACTGATAGCGACGTGGGGATGAACAACCACTTGTTTGCCCAAGAACCATCGTGTTCCCATGGTCCATGTTCCCCTTCCGATGTCTTCGTTGCAGTCCATCGTCCCTAAAAAGGTTTAGGACAATCCTTCCTTGTTTATCTCAAAGACCAACCTCATGGGGTACGGATGGGTACGGCAATCCTAGGGGTACGACCAACCGACTTCACAGGTCAAGTGGAACCAGATGCATTTTGTCCAGGCCTTCGGCCGTTTTGGTGTAGTGCAACGCTTCCAGGTGCAAGCCATGAGATGCAGTAGCCAGGGTGGCTGCCACAGTTAGCTGACAACCACTATAGTTTCAGAGGGTCCAGCTGTAGATGAGTCGAGTCTATTGGGACGCCTTCGCGTCTAGGGGGTCGGGTCGTGCAGACCAAGCCGGAGTGAGTCCATGCAGGGAGAGACTCTTTGGACTTCACTGGTGCGACGAAAGCAGGGAATGAGGGCTGGATCCAATAGAAACATCGGGGGGCGAAACCTTCCCTGATTCCCTATGAGTCGCACCAGTCAGACTTTGGGTGTAGATCAATCTTCAGTTGCGGAAGTCTCATTCTCCCGACTCGTGCCTGTTGGGAATGGACCTTTGGTTAGGGACACCACAGCTCCGGGATGAATTCCATGGGTGCACTGGCAGTCCTGAGTGTTCTACCAGGTGCTAGCCCGCACTCCAGCAAGAAATGCTGGAGTGTCGGTCGAACAAACTAGGTTTACACTTTCAAAGCGAGCCAGGGGCGCCAATTTTGTTGGAACATTCAAGCAGTTCAGGACGTGAATCCTGGCCCCAAAGTGGATCCAAGCTTCCTAAGCCTGCAAAGTGCTGCAAGTGCCAAGTGCAAAGGACCAAGCTTCCCAACATGTTGTAAATACATCACATAGGTGAACCTTTTATAACCATTTGGATTCTGGCAAGTGATGTATTTTCTATTTCCTGCCTCCTGCCTTTATATTGTCAACCACCTTTCATGTGCAGTCATGCGCCGATTGATGTATATAGGGGGATACGGGTTCCACATTCTGACTACTCGATGACAATACAATTATATACAATTATGAATTCATCATTGTGTCCATACAGACCCCCCAAATAGATAGACAAGTAGATCCCCACGTGAAGAAATATTGAAAGACCGTGCCACGGTCATCTATTTGGGGACCACTATAAGTTTGAATCTCCATTGTGCATTGGAATCAAATCCGAGGATGCATGCAAGGAGACCCACTAAACGAACCGCCTCGCCCCAAGCCACAGGAAAGGCCTTTGAGTGAGCAGTCAATGGCAGCAGCTGCACTTGATGAGACATTTGAGCATGTTCCAAGTGACGAGTCCAAGACAGAAGCAGAACTTGAGCAGCAGAAAGAAGTGGCTCCAAGTGAAGATTCAGAGGAGGCTGCTGCTGATCATGTGACACCTGACCCTGTTCCAAGTGACGGGTCCGAGACAGTCGCAGGACTTGAGCAGCAGAAAGAAGCAGCTCCAAGTGA